TATCATTACATTATAATTAAAAATGTAACGGGATAAATAATCAAGACAATCATTACTATATTAGGGTTTTACACTTTCGTCAACTGACGAAACTTTAGTCACTAGTTTCGGTTTCGCCAAACGTGACTAAACCGAAATTAAATTGACTAAAGTTTCGTCAAATTGAGTTAGAGTTACGCAGCCAGCCCTGATTATATGCCTCTTTTGCCCTTGAAAAGAAATTGATTTTAATTAATAAGAGAATATTAATGGGTTAAAGTTTCATATGTTTCAAAAGAATTAAATTTATGATTCATGATATTGGGAAATTATTATTCTAATTGTGCTTTATTGTTACAGATTATATAGGTCGAACGAGCGAGAGAACGAATAATTGATGACAAAATAAAAAACAAGGATTTACCAGCGAATAGTTTTTGGGTATTGGTTTATCGATCCGAAACATGCTTTCAAGCCAAAATTTGTCTGACAATACAAGTAACCTCAAGTTCTTTTTATACTTGGTATTAATTCGAGACTGTTTTTACTTTCCAACACTGATTTTGTCAGCAAATACCGATTTTACCAGTAAAGGCCGATTTTATCTGAAAAGACGGCTTCTTGTAATCTTTCAAAACAGATTTTGTCGATTTAACAATAACAAGCAACAGATAAATGTATAAATAAATAATGTATAAAATAGTAATAAATAATAAGAGTGTAATAGTGGTGGCGTTGTTTGAAGAAGGTTTACCAACCGGTCGACTTATTTCATCATCATTTCCTAAGACTTTAATTTCTTGGTTTACGATGGTGACTACAAGAATACTTTGCGATTGCAATTTTTTTCTCGTTTCGTTTGAATATCCTATCAGTATATAGTAAAAGTACATGGTTATAATTGATTAATTGCTTGTTTAAAAAGAACTTTTAGAAAAGCAAAACGGACTTATGCAGGGAGGGTTATGATGATGATTCTGTGGCAGGTTGATTTTGTCACAATAGCCCACAACTCTAAATTTTATCAAGTAAAATGGGTCATGGCTTCTAGATATTAACAATATCATAAAAATGTTCGATTTGAAACTTGACGATTCAATTCGATCGATTAACACACGTGTGACAAAAATTTTGATTTTCTCAAACATCACCTAATTTATTGTTTATTAAATGGATGATTTAAAAATTTTTCCAATACAAAGTAATAAAAACGTAAAAAAACTTGGAGGTGGTAAATGGATAGAATTAGAAGAAGTAGAGTATACAGATCCTAATAACGTTAAGAGAACATGGGAATTTTGTCGTAGAAAAAAAGAAATTGATGATGAGAATGATAAGAATGTTGACGTTGATGGTAATAAATAATAAGTAATGATGATGATGAATAAATTTTGAAAAACTCTTAATAAATAAAAAAATATTATTTAGCCGTTGACATACATGCAATCATTGAAAAATCAGATTCTTTGCCTGTAATTCTTTTGGTAATTCAATATCGTCCACCAATTAAGAAGTATTGTATTGAACTTCCTTCAGGTTGAACTCTCAATTTAGAGGTTTCCAGATTTATTTATAATTAATAATTAAACAATTATAATTAATTAATAGGATTAGTTGATTCTAATGAAACAATTGAAAAAGCAGCACTTCGTGAATTTAATGAAGAAACAGGTTATACCGGAACTATTCAAAAAATATATGATCCAATTTGTTATGAGCCAGGATTAACAGATTCAAGTACAAGAATTGTAGATGTCAAGGTATTATTATTATTAACACAAATACTATAAAATAAATCTTTAATAACTTTATTTTGCATTGGTAAAAAAAGATTGATTCTGGGAGTGATTCGAAGCCTATACAAACGCTGGATGAAGATGAATGGAGTTTACAAGTTATAAAGGTTCCTTTAAATAATTTATTAGAAGATTTACAAAGTAATTAACCATACTTTAATATTATTTATATAAATTGATAAACATAATTACTTATATTTAAAAAAAATTTTTTTGAAAGAAATGCAAAAAAAATACGAAAATAATTTGTTGATTGACAGTAGACTTTATTACTATGCGCTTGGTTTAAACATGGCAAAAAAATATTCATTAATTGATCAATGATATAATACTATTTTTTAAGTATCTGGTTATCTCTATTTTTTTTCTCTCTTTAATAATAATCAAAGCTATAATTTATCACAACGATATATCCATAACATATAAATATTCATTATTGTTCAACGAGAAGTTAAGATAGAAAAAAAATAATTTATTATTATTATCATAATAAATCTCGCATTTTTAACCTTTTATATTATTACCTTAAGTTTTACCTCTCAAGACTGGATTTTTGATCTTCTTTGATTCTTTAAGCAAGAACAGTCCAATCTCTTGAGCAAAGGAAATTAATTATCCAGATCTTTGATCCAATTATATAAAAGAAATTAATAATCCAGCCTTTGTATGTCCTTTAATCCTTATGTCAAAAAAAAATTAATCAACTATTGTTTCTTCTGATAATATATGGAAATAAGGCATGTTGCCCAAAAGTCAAATTTGAGTTAATGCCACTCTCTCTTATCGCAAAGAATATTTTCAAAGATATTTTCTTTGAAGTTTTACAGTAAATACAAAAGTAAGTTGTTTGGATGCAAATCTTTTTTGTTGATTTTCTCAAAGCATGATTTTCTAAACACGTCTTGTTTCTAATGACCTGATCCCATATTATCTCTAGTATTTTTGCGCTAGAGATCGATTTCTGCCACTATAACCATTTTTATAACTGTATTTGTAATTAGATTACGATAGTAATGATCAGGTCTTTGCATAACTATTTACGATCATTGTTAGCAGGATAATTAGTTCTTCGACCGATCATCATTTCTATCACTAGCCTTATTCCTCTCATGATTTTTTCTTTTAATTTTCTTACATAAACTTGCATGCAATTCAATGATTACTAATATCGTCATCAGAAGACTAACCATTTATCCCATTCATTGCTACCACTACTGACATTACTTTTCATCAATTTAAGGAATTTTTTGAAAAAAATTTCGACGGCAAGCAGGAGATGAGGTGTGCACTCACTTATGACTTAACCAATCACCTCCCATGCATAAATTCCATGAATTGGGGTCGCTATCTCCCAGGAGTCGGTATTTAATTAGTATTTAATGCCTGTAGATCTATCAATTTCTTTTAAAATTTAAAATGCAATAATAAAAATAGTAAATATTTGGTTACCTAATATGTATGTGATCATCAATTAAATTAAACTCGTGCAACTTTGAGGCTTAATCTAAAGGATCTACAAGGCCAGCCAGAGGACTCACCATATTAATATATTAATATAGATACAATTCGATTGCGATTCAATCTTGTGAAACTATCATAAATTAAATAACTAATGTGCAACGTGACTGAAATTTCAACACTGATCGGTCTCGATAATTAATAATAAATAATTCAAAGATATTAAATTCAAAAAAAATTAACACCAATAAATCCCCAATACTAATTTGTTGAATAGGAGCAATCCTATGATGAAAATCGTGGGAAGTATTTGTAAAATGTTGTACTAACTGGTACGTACATGTTAATTAAACCCCGAGAACTTTGTGTTAGTTACACGATAAATTATAAATTTTTTTAATTAAAGTTTTATTACAAGAAACAAATGAATCGAGTGAATTCGTATTTATTGTTTTGTTTTGTTTTGTTTGGCTCATTTAATCTTTTAATCTTTCTTTGAATTTACTAATTTAGAAATAAAATTCTGAATAAATGATGAATTTTGTACACCCATAAAACTATCCACGACTTTACCATTATGGAAAGCCAATACGGTGGGTAATGCACTCACCTAAATAATATATTACTATTCTATTACTATTATATCATTATTATTATTACTATGTTTCAATATAACAAATGATTGATACCTCATATTCGCTGGCAAGGGAATGGTTTTCATCCGCATTTAGTTTTACCAAAGTGACTTTAGAATTATTAGCAACTTCCCGTTCAAGAACTGGTCCAAGAATTTTGCAAGGATTACACCAGCTATCATCGTCATCGCCATCATAATCACATATCATAGTTAATAATAATTCATTTTACATCATCATATTATTGTTATTATTATTGCTATTATTATTACAACATACTCTGCATAAAAATCTACAATAACAGGCTCTTTTGCTTTCAAGACCAAATTATCAAAAGTGCCAACGGATCCTTCTAATGTTTTTCCGGTTCTTATAATAGAAGAAGCGTGGAAAAAGGAAACAGCAGGGAATATTAATCGTCGCTGCGCTAAAAAACAATTTAGTTAATTAAATAATGGTTGCCGCAAGTAAATTGATTATATAAAGAAGGAAGAAAACAATAATTAAAAAAATTATAGAAAATTAAATTTTTTACCTGAAGAAAAAGCAGATTTAAAAAAGAAGATTTGATTCATTTTTCTTTTTAATAATATGAAAAAATTTTTTTATAATGCCATATGTTGTGTTACTTAATAATGAATGGTTCTGCTGGGTAACTAACTTGAAAAAAACTTCTTTAAAATAATTGGACCATAAATATTTCAGATAATAATATAATAATTGTGAAAACAAAAATATTGTAATAATTATTATATATTTAATCATAAATAATCCTTTTTCACATTACAAAATATTTTTCCTTCACATTCCTCAAATTTAAAATTTTCTTTTCAAATCACCAAGAAAGTCCTTTAAATCTTTTTCAATATAATAAAAAAATGCGTTTAGTAACTCATAATATGCTCCAATGTCATGCCAAAGGTTGCAATTCAAATAATTTTCCATTAGATCTTTTTGAAGTTGAAATAGAAACTCAAGAGGCAGATTTCAGTCCACAGTTTATACGTAACATGATATCAAAATTAGATTGGGATGCTTTGGTAAAAACTGCTTTACAGGTTAGTAATGGTTATCTGATTGATTGATTGATTGATGGATGGATGGATGGATGGATGGATTGGATGGAGGAAACGCGTTGTTAGGTTTCTTCTTGATTGTCATCGAATCTAATTAATCATTTATTATTTCTTCTCTTTTTTCATCTTCCCAAAATATTTATTATTTTAATAAAAGGTCAATATTAAAATATTACCTGAAACTTTACCAAATCTCTCAAACGGAGAGTTTGACGAAGAATTCTTGAAAAATTTACACAGAGTTTTATTAGAGGTAAATCATTATCGTTGACCTAAAAACAATGTATTAAAAAAACGCGTCTTTATTAATTCTATAATACATTAATTAATCCATTAATCAATCATAAAGACACACATTCAACAAGGAAAAATGAAATGTCCAAACTGTCAACATGTATACCCAATCAAAAATGGGATACCAAATATGTTATTAAGCGAAGACGATTAAATTAATAAGCTAGAAAATAAAAAATAAAAAGTAAAATTATATATTTAGTAAATGATAATTTAATTAAACAATTAATGTGTAGCATAACTATGTGTTTAGCTTTCTTTTTCAAAATTTAAATAATAATAATAAGATATTAAAATACAATAGTAACTATAATAAAAATTTTTTTGTATATGTAATTATAGATTAAATTATTTATTATATAAATAATAATTTATTTATTATTATTATTGAATTGAATTGAATTAAATAAATAAATAAATAAATATTATTATTATTATTATTATAATAGTAAGATTCTTTTAACTATATATATATATATTCGTTCTATAAAAATTTCTTTAAAGATCATTTTTTCTATCCGTACACATACACACACACACATCTTCTCGCCTCGTCTCATTCATAATTCTTTTCTTTTAATGACAGCAGACATTAATTCTTCAATGTATTCAATATTACCAGTTTTAAATATTTTCTGAGTGTTTTCATTTTTTTTAATATTTTCCCAATTATTAGCAATAAAGTTCAACACCATAGATTTTAAATAATTATTACCACATTCCCAACTAAATATTAATATATCATCCCAATTATCTTCTGATATCATCTCTACTAACTTCATTTGTGCCAAATTCTGTAATCTATCCAATCCAATCATATCTGCCTGTATATAAATATCCTTCATTACTTTGAAATCTAATCCTTCAATGATCTTGTCTGTATACAAATTGTACAATATTGCTTTGAATGTCTCATCTTTAATATTCTTTATTGGTATTGATTTCATATTTTGTTCTTTCCATCCTCCTTCCAACATATTTTTAAAATATTTGGACCCTGCTGCTACAATGACTCTATGTGCTTTGATAATATTACCTGAATCTAGCACAAACTCAATATCAGAGAATATTTCATTATTGAAGTAATATTCATTTCTGATCAAAAAATTCTTTTTGACACTCTCTTCCAAAATCTTATTGTATTCCTCATTATGAAAGAAATGTACTATGAAAATCAAATCTATTTCTTTCGTTCTATTCCCATCTGGAAATAATTTGTCAAATGAACAAAACTTTGGATACCCCCAGCTCTCTTTACCAAACTCAAAATCTTTATTAATTATTTGATATTCTGCTATGATTTTAGGATCTGTTGCCACATCCCCTTCATAATCTATCTTTTCCAGTTCCAATTTGTATCGTTGATGTCTTGTTGGTATATTATTCTGTCGTTCATATGGTGTTTGAATTGCTTGTAGAAATAACGATATATTATTTTGATGTCCTGGTTTAAATCCATTAGGATGGATTTGTAATCTCCACAATGAACCTTTTGACATTAATTCATCATCATCACCACCACCGTCATCAACACCGCCACCACCACTACTATTGTTAATAGTGATAATTTCATTGTTGCTATTAGTATTGTTAGTAATAACATCATTGTTACTGTTATTATTACTATTATTATTAGAGACAATGATATTACTACTACCATTACCATTTCCACTTAATCCAAGATCATCATTATTACTAGTACTAGCATTGTTACTATTATTATTAGTAGTAGTAGTGCTAGCAGTAGTGCTAATTACATTGTTGCTATCTATTAATTGTGGTATCCAGAATCTAGGACTATAAAATATATCACCATTTCTTGTATTCTTAATGTATTGTTGAAAACTGGCAACTTTCCAACTATAAGTACTAAATGGTCGATCATATGATAATACATTAGAAGACGAAGTAGTCGCAGTAGATGGTGATGATGTATTTATTGTTGTTGAATTAGTTATCGTTGATACTGAAGAAGAGGATGACGATAATGAAGATGATTGTGGTAAAGAAGAAGAGGAGGAAGATACTATTGAAATTGATCGATTATTATTCTCTGATGTCATTTTATTTTATTTCGGATGATGATGATTTTTAAATTTAGATTTAGATTTAGATTTTTAGATTGATAATAAATTTTTTAATTTATTACTATTATTGTTATTGCCGCTGCTGTTGTCGTCGTCGTCGTCGTAGTTGTTATTGTTATTGTTATTGTTTGTTATTGTTATGATTAATATATTCGTTGTTATCGCTGAAAATTAAATTTTTGTGAGAGAATATTTAAATAATTGGTTACACGCACTAATGTATTGGTATAATTAATCGAATTTTCTAAAGCTTCACGTGATAAACGCGTTATTTTATTGGCACAGACGAAATCGTTAATTTCATGTGATTTTTAATAAACATGTTTAAATTTAAATTTTTATTCATATAATAATAATTAGTATTAGTATAATTTTGTTAGTTGATAATAATTAATGTGTGTCTATATATAAATTTATTTAATAGATAGAATAAAATAAATGTGTTGATAAACAACATGTTTAATAAAATACATAAAAACTCAATAAATCAATAATAAAGATTAAGTAAAGTCTAATTCTAACTATTTAATGTCAAATAACCTCCAACTCTAACTTAACTAAAACAAATAAAACTTTTCCCAGTATAAATATGTAAAGATGATATATAATGATTATTAATTCTAGTGATTCTATGATGATTTAAATAATTTCCCAAAAAAATTTTTTATTGAATTTTTTTGTGATCTATTTCTAGTATGGGTATAATTACTACCGCCACCACTATTATTACCACTGCTGTTAATAATATTAGAAATATTATTGCTAATAGTATTAATAGTACTAGTATTGTTGTTGTTGTTGTTGTTGTTGCTTCTATCGAATTTCCTAACGTTTACCAATTTATTTTCTTTTTGTATTTCCTCACACTTATGATCAGGTTCTAGTCGATGTTTAATACAATAACTTTTTCCACACCCTGAACACATTATCTTGACTGCTATACGATTCTTGCATTTACCAAAGGAACATGAATTAAATGGCTTCGATGTGGATTTAACAGGTTTATTACAGTCATTTTCTATATGAATATTCATCTAAAAGGATAAACGAAGAATAAAATGAAGGTGAAGACGAAGACGAAGAAAGAAAAAAATATAGGAAGTCGCAAAGGTTCCTTCTTTTTTTTTACATATAAAAAAATGACCAAATACTTACTCTGATATTGGGATCTTCCCCTTTGGCAACCGGAATAGGTTGATTACATACAGGGCAAACCGGCACTTTTACACCATCTTCACTTGGTGCATTGGTACAATTATGATCATTTGGCTTAAAATGTTCGTTGCAATAATCTTTTTTACAATATTGACACTTTACAGGTAAGTAATCTAATTGTTTACAATTAGGATCTGAACAGTGTTTGCCCAAGTCTGGAAATTCCATAAAGAGAATTATTTTTTATAGGTGTTTTTTTATTAATTGTTTAGTTAGTTATTCAATATTTAATATATAAAAATGTTTATAATTAAAATTATCTTTGTTTGAAATTTTCATTTGGAAAAAAAAGAAAGGGAAAATTTAAATTTGTACAACTTTCATTTATTTGTTTTTCGTATCATCAAAAATCACAAATCAAGAAAAAATCTTCCTTGCCCCTCTCAATTATATAACAAATTTTTTAAATAAAATTATTATTATTTATTATATTAAAATATAATAACAAAAGATGCAAGAAGTGGAAGTTGCAGCAAGAGATGTTTTCATTCATTACATAAATGTTCAAAAGGACAAAACTATTTTATGGTCGTTTACAACAAAAAGAAAGAATATCTCTTTTGGTTTATATCAACGAAAAGGTCATAATGTTTCTACATCAACTAACTCACACATCACTACAGCCAACAACGCCACAACAGTTGCTAATCTTAATCTTAATACTACTCTTGCTAATAGCATCAAAAATAACACTACCGGAGCCACACCTACGACTTCTACAATAAAAGAAGACGGAGGAGGGGGAAGTGGTGGTATTGGTCATAATAGCGGTTATGGGATACCTAATTCAGCAAGACCCAGTCTAAAAAGTAACATAAGTATAACATCTGTTGATACCAATGACACTGAAGATACCAGCGACTCTTCCCAAAAAGACAATAACAACAGCGCTGAGTGGACCAATTCCACCTCTACTTTAAACCCACTTCATTCTCCTTCTACGCCTGGTGTTGCTATTAATGGTGGTGTTAATGCATTCCGTGGTCGAAAAAAATCTGTTTCTTTGCAAATAATTAAAGATCCGGGTTTGAAAGAAATTTTACCAATTGAACATTATAATTCTGCTACTGCAACCATAAAAGGCAGTTATAAAGTTCAAGATGAAGGAATTTATTGTTTGGTTTTTGGTACTTTTATTGTTTGTCATTTTTATATATTTCTATATATATTATTTAATTTGGTTGGATGTAATATTTCATTTACTGTGATGACAATATTTTATAATGATTAGATAATTCTTTCTCTAGAAATACATCAAAGTCGTTAACTTTTTACGTTGCAGTAAAAGAAGGTAATAACAATAACAATAACAATAACAATAATGGGTTCGTTATAGCAATCATTACATGTATTTTAATATATTTATTGTAAATAACAAATAGGCTCAGATGATGATCAAGATAAACCTTTACCTGAAACTTCTGGTTGGATGTTAAAGAAAAAAAGAAAGAAAATACAAGGTTCAGTAATGTTAATTATGTTTCATGTAATGTATATAATTCCAATTATTGATTTCCATTCCTTCCTTCATTCTACCTCTCTCTTTTCATAATAACAAACAGGTTGGGCAAAAAGATGGGTACAGATTGATAATGGAATCTTATCCTATTATCAATTTCCTGATGGTCCATGTAGAGGTTCAATTCATATAGCATTTTCAGCTGTATCATCCAGCCAACCATATCGTTCTATAACATTAGATTCAGGAACAGCAACATATCATTTTAAAACATTGACAGACGAAGAATTTGAATCATGGATGAGCTTTATTCGTAAATACATCAACCTATCAAAAGACCTACAAATCCTTGACTCAGAATACCCAATTATTAGCTCACCAAGACAATCCACCGAATTCGAAAGACATCAAAGCATATACCGTAAGCGACAAAGTCTAATAGAACGACGTCAAAGTTTGATAAAGAGACGCCATAGTCTTACCCGTGACCCACAGGCTTTCTTCAGATCAAACAAGTTGGAAGAAGATTTGGGAAAAATTTATGATCATTTAAATAGTATGGATGATAAGTTTAATAACATTGATGAAACTTTGGAAACATTGAAAAATTCGATAGAGTCACCTGCTTCACCTTTTGCTATTCCAAAAGCTTCACCAAGTGTTGAAGGAAAGTTTCGATTAAAAAAATTCACTCTTCAAAAAGGTAAAATTTCTTTTAACTTGAACACAATAAAAAAAAAAAACAAATATTATAATATTCATCTAATTAATAAATATAAATATAAATAAAATATTAATATAGCTTCATCATCAACAAGTCTAAGTGGTGAATTAACCACACCAACAACTCCAACAACACCATCAACTCCACGATCAAATTTCATTTCAATGGAGCCAATCTATGATAAACTTTTTTCAACGTTTTCAGCTGTCAAAGACGACAAGAAAAAAATATTGGATTTATTACGTACAGAATTTGAGAAATGGAAAGCATTAGATCACGCCTATCGTAAACTATCAGCAGAAAATGCTGAACTACGTAAACAACTTTCTAATTCTGTTACTGCAACAACAACAATGGAAAAAAGTGAACATTTCTATAATAATGATGGTGACTCCGAGTATCAGGAAAAATTAGATAACGGAGAAAGAATTTATAAACGTGCCGAATCTTTGAGTACTATAAATACTGATGTATTCTTTGATGCTGAAGACATTGTTTTAACCTCCGAAACTATCAACGCAGATGATAGTGAAGGCGAGGTTTCTAATGTTGAAATCATTGAAGATGAAAGTGAGGACGAGTCATCATCATTAGACGCGTCATTCAATGACGATGCAACTAAGAAAGATGACGAGAATATTGAAGTGAAAGTAGATGATGATGATAGTGTAGATAAAGCGGAAACTTTACAAAAAATATCAGAAGCTACACGTAAAATGACTATTCGTAGAAGGAAAATACTTCCATCACCTATATGTGGTGAAGAAGTTAGTCTTTTATCTTTACTTCGTAAAAATGTCGGAAAAGACATGTCAACCATAGCTATGCCTATATCATTGAACGAGCCGATAAACTTGCTTCAAAAATTAGCTGAAGATTTAGAGTACAGCGAGTTGTTGGATAAAGCAAATTCATCTGATGATTCGTTGATGAGGTTGATGTATGTTGCTGCATTTGCTGTTTCAGGTTATGCCTCATCTCAATATCGTACTGGTAGAAAACCGTTTAATCCATTACACGGTGAAACTTATGAATTGGTTCATCCCGTAAAAGGTACCTTTATAATATTATGATTTAAGGGCTTGATTTTTAGTAAAAAACTAAAATATAATAAATGAATAAATGAATAATGATTTTTTTTTTATCAGGATTTAAATTTATTTCTGAAAAAGTTAGTCATCATCCACCAATAATGGCTGTAAGTAATTGACATTATATAGAATTCATAATATTTATATTTTTCCAATAATTGTTTTATTTATTAATTATAATCTTGTTTTTTTTTTTTTTTTTTATTTTAGTGTCATGCTGAATCACCAAATTGGATATTTTGGCAAGATTCAAAAGCAAAAAGTAAATTTTGGGGCAAATCAATGGTAATAATCATCAAATGACTAAATAGCTAAATAATAATTATAAAATTTTATTATTACTATTTAATAATTTATAAAACATTTTTTTTAGGAAGTAATACCATACGGTACAGTGCACATAAAACTTCCAAAGAATAATGACCACTTTTCGTTTAATAAGCCTACTACATGGATGCGTAATATGATATCTGGTACAAAGTATTTGGAACATACAGGTGTAATCCGTATACAAAATCAAACGACAAAAGAAGTATGTGAAATCACATTTACAACGAGTGGTTTGTGGAGTAGCGGACCGAAAAGTGAGATTGTTGGAGTGTTGTTTTCATCAACTGGCAAGAAATGTGGCAAGATCGTAGGTAGATGGAACGAAATAATATTTAATGAGAAAGCACCTAATCAATTGGAAGTACTTTGGAAAGCAAATCCACCATTACCAAACTATGAAGAGTATTATGGATTTATGCCATTTACAATAGAACTTAACGAGATTACGCCAGATATATCAGAATACTTGCCAAATACTGATACGCGGCTAAGACCTGATCAAAGACTTTTTGAGAATGGTTCTGTTGACCAGGCGGAAGGTGAAAAGCTTCGACTTGAACAGAAACAACGTGAATTTCGGAAAGAACTTGAAACTCAAGGAAAGACATGGGAACCACAATGGTTTGAGTTGAAAGGCGACGAGTGGGTTTATAAAGGAGGGTATTGGGAAGCTAGAGAAACCAAATCTTTTGTAAATAAAATTCAATTATGGTAAAAAAGTTAAAATTAAAATTTATTAATAATATATTAGATTTTTTATAGATTCATTAACTTAATAATTAGTCAAAATTTTTATTATTTATTCACTTATAAAATTTATTTGTACATCATCACTCATAATCATCATCATCAACTTTTAAATATTATAAACTTGTTCCATTAACAATGCATTTTATATATAATAATAACAATAGTTACACGTCGTCAATCAAATGTCAATTTAGAAAAAAATTCCAATTATGGGAATATATAAATACTCAAATATATTTATAAATATTACAAAAATAAATATTTATTTTTTATAAACGAATTCAATTTAGTTTATTATTATTATTGTTGTGTAAAAAATTTTTTCTCCTTTTTTTTTTCGCTAAAGAAAATTTTTTTACGTATATATAAAAATAATAATAATAATAATAATAATAATAACTAACAATAAATGTTTCCGTCGTTTAATAGTTTAAATAAATAAACTAATAACATTAATAAATTATAAAATATACATATAGAAGCAAATATGAAGTTTATATTAATTGTTTTAATATTAATTGCAAGTTTAGGAGCTTTATCAACATGTGAAGGGTTAGATTTTCATTACAAAACTACTAAACATTCGGATAAACCAACTTCGGATAGTTCATCATCGTCAACAACAGTTCCAGAAAATCCGTCGTCAACAGCAGCTCCAGAAAATCCGTCATCAGCAGCTCCAGAAAGTCCGTCATCACCAGCAACTCCAGAAAGTCCGTCATCACCAGCAACTCCACCACCACCAACACCAGATCCAAATAACCCAAATAACCCATCACCACAGCCAACACCAGATCCAAATAATCCAAATAACCCATCACCACAGCCAACACCAGATCCAAATAACCCAAATAATCCATCACCACAGCCAACACCAGATCCAAATAACCCAAATAACCCACCACCAACAAATCCAAATCCAAGCAATCCAAATCCGACAACCTCACTACCAGGTTCAGAACCAACAACAGCACCAGCACCACCAAATACGCCGCCAAACAAATCAGATTTTCCAACGGTTTTAGCGTCAGCTAAGATTGAATCAGATGTTGCACCTCCTGTCCCATTAAAAAATGGAAAGATGACAGGGCTTTTAGTATTTTATCAACCATCCGATGGTAAAACATCAATAACCGGATATCTTAATAATCTATTAGACGATGTTGAAGGAAAATATACATTTAAGATAGTTAATGATAAAGGGACGGTTATCAATGATTTGACCGGTATGATAAATCCTATATTTCAATTAGGTGGTTCATCAACTTTTAGTACCATTCAGGATAGTGTTAGATTGTCGGGTGATCCTGCAACCAATGCTCTTGGTAGTTTTTTTGTAATTACGCAACGTGACGTTGCTATTTGCAAAGCTTTAATTGGTAAAGAGTTTGTTCTTGATGGGTAAATTAATGTATTATTATTTTAGAGGGGAGGGTTTAAACTTTGGGAATAAAATATAGAAAAAGATTATTTTTTTTACTTATTTATTTATAACAATTAACAATTTATGTATTTATTACGAACTTAATGTATTATATATATACATATTTAAATAGATAAATAAATAAAATTTTCAAACAAAATAATAACGTTATACTAAAAAGCATACTAGTACTATTTATTAAATTAATTGTCTGTTGTAATTACCTTTGCTTAAAATCATACAATTAACATCATTTCCATCACTTCCTTCATCAATATCTCCTCCATCATCGTCGTTATCGTAGTCATCATCATCATCATCATCATCATCATCGTTGTCGTAGTCATCATCATCATCATCATCGTTGTCGTAGTCATCATCATCGTCGTCGTCGTCATCATCATCATCAAAAATAAAATCATCAATTCCAACCGTATCACCAAAAAACGTCTCAAATCCATGAATAAGATCATCATCATTGTCATCAGTCAATTTTTTAAAATCGAAATCCAAGAAATTTTTTAAATCTTGATAATTTGTTAGTTCTTGTATGTTTATACAATATGTTTTGATTAAATATTTAGCAAATTCAATAATCACTTTTCTAAATCCCGAAATATTAGTTGAATTGAATGTCACATGGAAATTCATTAGTTGTAGACTCCAATCCTCCGATAATCTTGATCCAGCCAAGGGAGGAAATCTACCAACTACCACTTCGCCATCTTTTGAAAATTTCCACTTTATTATTATTATTTTTAATTATAGTAAAGAAATTTAATTAATAATATGTATATTTAAAGATAATCAGATAATTACTGTACATACAACGAATACTCCATTCATAACACCATTATGTGTATAAATTCCATTGCGATGAAATTTTGGTTTTCCAATATTGTAAGATAACGTATATAAACTAAACTATGAAATAAAAAGAATTAGCACTAGCACACAAATAAATAATTATATAATGATGAGTAGGGATTACCTTGAAACTCCAACTGGTTTCACATAAATCATCATCTTTTAATTTATTTCTCTTTGCTTCCGATTCAATTTTTCCGTATAATTCTTTCCATGAACCATGTTTAATAGATAACAAATCCTTCAAACATCCAATCTCTGATTCGTTATAAACTATATCCTTGATTCCTTGTTTATCTTTCCATCGATTAATTGATAAATTCATCCACACTTGATTGTCAGTTGATAAATGTTTGAAATATCTTGAAACATGGTTCAAGTTACATAACGATTCACAATCCAACTTTTTAAAAATTTCTATAAATATTTCATATGGTAATTGGATAATGTTAGTGATTTCGTTTCCCATAATTTATAAATAAACAGTGTTAATTGAAACTTTTATTAAGTTAATTGCTGGTTTTAAGAACATACATATATTTAATATGCTGCCAGTTCACTGCGCCATTGTGCCAAATTCCAAAAAGTTCCATATTCATATATAAAACTAACAGGAATGATTACTACCATTACGTCTAAATGACGAATATCTTTCTGTTTTTGTAACAAACCTGTCACGCAATTATAAATCACATGGTTAGGTTAAAATTTTATTTTTGTATTTCGTTATTTCATCACAATGACCGAATATGTTAGCTCTATGGAAATAGGTTAGTTTCTATTTGAATAAAAAAAAACAATGAATAATTCGATAGTATAGTAATAGTATATATGCACATATTTGCTAATCCAATATAGTCCAACCCAATTAAAAAAAATTTCTTTGTACTATTTTTCCTTTTAGTGATAATAATCATAGTAATGGCAGAAGTAATTAATCTTTTTTCTTTTTAGTCAATTGATAATAATAGTTGTAGTGATTGGTTGTAGTGATAATAATAATAATAATAGTGATAGAATTTTTTATTTTAACTATTTTTATTAATTGTTTTTAACTATTTTTGATTAATTGTTTTATAGCAGAATTGCAAATAAAATAACAGAATTTGAGCAGAAACAATATTTTTAAATGCAGTAGAAGCAATCAGATTCTTGGTATAATCACTGGCAGATTTTGATTTTTCTTCGTCGCAGAAATTCATCATCAATCATGATTTTGAGAATATAATTCAAATTCACAATTATATGGGTATAAATTTTTGTCTGAACATCTTATTATCTTTAAAAATACGTATTAATATTAAAAAAAAGGTTTGATAGTAATCGATGGATTTATATGAATTTCCTTCTTTTGATGAACACGTGGTTAGGTATTGTAAGGTTCTACAACATAAATAATAATACCAGTAATAATATATACTAATTGAGATTTTGACCCAAAAATTCGGTATTTGTGTATATATATGGGCATGGCAGGACCCTGAACAATCACCCTTTCTCTACCCACTTTTTTTTACCCAGATTTAAAAATAAAACGGGATTTATCAAAGTGTCATCCAATTGTATGTTGGACATGTGACTTAGTCTTTTTCGTTTTATATTTTTATTTACATTCGCATTTTTAAAAGATTAACAAAAAATCGTTATAAATAATATCATTTTTTGACCAAGCGAATAAAATTTTTTGGGAATCAACAAACTAATTGACTGGTAATTAAATAATTCTATATTAATAATTATAACAGTGGAGGGAGGTTTTTGGGATCCTCTTCTCTGGTAGTCCAGATGTCATTTAATTCCTCATGGAGCCAGCCTGCAAGCAATAACAACGTAAAAAAGATATCAAGTTAGACAACAAACAATGAAAAACGAGCAAAGCAATCAAAAAAGTGAAAATGATCATTTCCACTTTCTCTTCATTTTTTTTCCTGATAACACACTTGTTATATACGTGTGATGAAAAAATTTAGAGGCATAAAATTATCCATTTCATCCTTTCTTTCTCTTTTCCTTTTCCTTTTCCTTTCTCCTAAAAAGTGTATCGATACAAAAAATTAATTAAATACTTTATTCAAGAATTAGCCACATCACATAATCAGAAGGAATGAATACATAAATAATGCACACCTGATTAATAGACATATTCAATGATATAATAAAATGGTGGTAAATAAATAATAAAAAAATATGATAAGAAAGACAAACGATATACAAATGCTCTCTCAAACAGATAAATAAATAAACGAAACGGAATGAGTGAAAGTAATTTTTTGTATGTTTTTTTTAAATGTGTAATTCGTTCATTGCCTTTTTCTTTGCCAAACTCAATCAATGCATGTTGCAAATATTTAACATGCTCCCACTTATCCTTCTTGTCCTCCTCCAGCCTTTACTTTTCTTTTTTCAACTCGTCTCTTTGCGCTTTGCTCTTTCCAATTCTTTTTTGTTCATCATTCCTCCATTCCTCATCTGTCAACTTATGCTCCAACTCATCGCATCTTTATTTCCAAATAAAAAAAAAATGAGCACACTAGAATTACCATATGTAGTTGATGCAAATATACCATTATCTCTTGAAGGATTAAATATATATTTATGCATGTGTGTAATTGTGTACTTACAATACTATTATTATAACATATAGCAACTAAACAAAATTTATTTGTGCATGAGGTTTAATAGGACCCGCAAACCATATAGATAGGTTACTATCACATACAAAAATCACGATTTGATATAGGGTTTGACCCACGCTGTGATTAGCTTATTGGAGACAATACTCCAAATTTGGTAATTTTCATCAATATTTGCATTTTCTAATAGTAAAATTTTTAGGCCTTTTACTATAAGATTTGACTCGGCTGTGGCAGTAATCTATCTATATAGTTTGCGGGGTCCTGGTTTAATTAAAAGTAAAGAGAAGATAGAGCAAGAAGAGGGTGTCAAGTTGTTGAAAGGTAGGTTTAATGAAAACGTATTTAACAAAAGGAGAAAAATAATGGAAATATAAAAAATCCAAATGTCTTTTATTTTGCGTTGGGACATTATAATTAGAACATTATATATAGCAAGAATCTATAATAATGAATTGTTTGTTGTCAATGGATCCTGAAAATTCACAAGCACAATCTATAAAAAGGAACAAGATGGTCTTAATTAAGGTTATTATTAATAATTTTCTAATTATGAAAGATCATTATAATTATTAATCTAAAATATCATTAAATATCGAGGGTAAATTAGGAATTGCCATTGTAGCAAATCTAAAGCCCTTTATTGCTTAATTAAGTTTAACCCACCCAAAGAGAACAATATTTTTTTGCCGGGCAATTATGGAAAAAGTTAAGGACGGGAAGCACGTTTAACTACAGTAGCAACTGTTGGTATTGTATCCACCTCATTATGGCAGGAGATATATTATAAATCTAATATTATTAATTTAATTAAATAAAAAGAAAAATGATAAATGATCAACCAACAACTTTCCCCATTCTTCTTAATGTTAAAAATGTTAAATCTATATATCAGAAATAGTAATCCATATTATTTTTTTTGGCGCAAGCAAATTCTCCAAGAATGCATAAGACATATTGGGGATTTTTGTACTATTTTTATATATCGTGATTTGTGCGATAATAGTTATTTATATATAAAGAGGTTCTCTAAAATTTTTTTCTCAATTTTACACAAACACAGCTGTAAAGATATAATATTTTAATTTGATTAATATTTTGTTATTATTGCTTTTTTTCCCATCCTTTTCTTTCTTTTGTCTTTTGTTCCTCATTAGGTATATTTTTTCTTTTCCTTTTTGTTAGTTTCTTCATTCCCTTTTTCTTTTTCACGTCATTAACCCCAATTAGATATATTTCGTATGTTGACTAAAATTTTAATTAATAATTAATATTTATCAGATATATATACATTGTTAACATTATATATAAAAGAGATAACGGACACTAATACTAGTAGTAGAAATATTGATTGTTTTTCCATGACCACTTTAATATCAACATATTTCAGTCCGCACAAAAAACTATTTCAACAATATGGTAGTTCCTCAATATTTAATTCGCCTGTTGGAACTGATAATGATAGTGATGGGAATGATTATAATAATAATGGCAATAATATCAACGACAACAACGACAACAACAACAACAACAATAACAGTAATAAATTCATTTTATGGCCTTTACCAATGGTCACAAGATATTTCATGCTATTTTCAATAATATTTTCATCATTAAATGGGACAGGTTTAATAACATTAAAATGTTCAGCACCTTTATTTGTCATTTACAATTCTGAATTTATAAATTTAATACTTTCACCTTTCTTATTCTCACCTTCACTGTTAAGTATTTTTTTGGCTTCTACCAATTTGTTGACATTTGGATTATTTGAGGAATCTTTAACTTCAATGTTGGGAGGAACTAAAAAATTCTTGTGCACTGTTTTATTTATGATGTTTGAAGTTTGCATCTTAAGACAGATTACTGGATATATATTTACAAGATCAACTGGCTGGACATTTCCAATTTTATTTTTTAATGATTCGTTACATGAATGTAATCAAGGTAATGAATGAATAATTGATTTTTTTTACTTATTTTATATATATATTTAATGTAATATATAATATATATATATATATATATATGCAATATTTTCAATTATCTTAATCTTCATTTTCACATATTAATTTCATTATCTTTATCAATTTCTAATATCAATTTCCAAACTAAATTTATAGGTTTAGCACCATTTTTATTTTGTTTACTAGTTTTACAAACTCTAAATATAGAAGATAGGTATGTTATTTATTATGGTGATAAACTTCACACAAAAATTACATTAAGAAAAATTACATTACAATTTTTCTTGTGCATGTTAAATTATATACAAAAAAATATTTTATGGTGGTCAATGACTGGTTTACTCACTGGATTCTTTACAACTATTATAATACATATAATTTTATTAAAAAATAATACTAATAACATTAGTAATAATAATAATAATAATAATATAATAGATTATGATAGTAGTGACAATGATCTGGGCAATCTTAATATCAACAAATCAAGTGATGATTTAAATGCACAAGTCTTAAATCATTCCAATTCATCATCATCACCATCACCATCACCGTCACCGTCATCACCAATAGCATCTACAACAATTGGAATAAATATTAATGATGACGATGATGATGATGATAATAATTATAATTATAAAAACAGTAGCAGTGGTGAAAAAATTAATCAAAAGCATAAAATTTTTAGAAAATTATTTAAAGGGGTTAAAAAAAGTTTTTTATTAGTGATAATATCACTATTTTTTTTATTGCTAGCAAATTATATATATACAAGGCCGGATTTTGTAGAGGAATCGACATTGAACACAGTTCATCCAGAAGATGGATTTTTAATTACATTTTTAATAATGACTGCTCCAAGACGTGGTGATCCCGACTTTTTATCAAAAACAATTGACTCATACTTGAATAATTTTCCTGATAAACCTGAAAAGGATTCATTATACGCCAGAACTCAAATCATCGTTTATACTCATTTCACAGACCATATTGTATTTGACAATGTTCAGGCAACCTATTCAAATAACTCAAAAGCTCAAAACTATTTAAAATTTCATCGTGACGAAGGTTGGGAAGTAAACCAAAGATTGCATGTTTCAAAAGCTTTGCATTTTGTTGCTGATAATTTTAAAACAACTTATGTTGGATTGATTGAAGATGATTTTCCATTATGCGAAGATAAATGGAAAGAATTATTAACTATTATTTATATTGCTAACATACAAGTACCAAAACATTGTGGAGTATTCATTGGTACTGGTGGAAGGTAATTAAATCATTATTATTATTATTATTATTATTGGAGGATTATTATTGGAGGTGTGGTTTATAATTATATTATCAGATGAGTGATTCAGAAATTATTCGATTTTTATTTTAATAATGATTTTAGTGGTTTAATAATGAAAACAGATAAGGCTTTAATAGCATCAGATTTATTATTGAGTGAATTGGATTTAGCACCAGATGTTTTGATACAAAAGTGTTTATTAGGGGAAATCAAAAAATGTGATGAATGTTCAAAAACTTTGGTCATCTCAAAAACTTTGTTAATGTATCATTTGGGCTATAACACTTCAACAAGTTCTAATCGAGTATATCACAAATATCAATACCAATGTGGTTGGAGGCATCCATTTGTAAGTGTTAAAAAATTTTTATTTTTTTTTTTGGGGAAGGTGTTGATTAAAATTGTTCTAATTGAATCTTTATTTACTGGTTTAGAATCAGAACCCGGATCTTTTAACACTATAATAATAAGTTATATTAAGTTATATGTGTATTGATTTTAAAAAAAAATCTATTTGTATTATTATTATTACATACTAATATATACACATTTTTTGTATATTTTTTTAATTTTAAAAGCAACTAATTAATTAATAATTTAATATTTTTAATTTTTAACTTTATTAGAGTTCATATATTACATATAATAACTCTTAAAATTTTGTAACATTTAAAAAGAATAAATAATTACTTTAGAATTTTATTCCTGCATCGTGCAGCAAAATTTAAATCAGGTTACTTCCGCAGCTAATATATTAGACCGTGATCAATTTGTAATGTTTATTATTATATTTAAACAATGAGTGAATAGAATTGATTAATACATGGTACATATAAAGTTCCTTGAGGTGGGCTTTATAATCTTGTTCAAAATGGAAAATTTTGGAGATCAATGACGAATCCCAACAATTTATTTTTACCCTAGTTTCTTTTCGACTCTGACTTGATGGCAGGGATGCCCACTTACTTCAACATACGCTGGCTCGAACTTCTCTATTATGTCAGGATCGTATAGTATATAAAGAAATCGGGATTCAGCCCATAAACCTTTTCATCTTTCATCGGGATCTTGTCGTTATTCTTTCCTACTTTGCAACGCCTCGCTTGCCTATGCACTAATATCTCGTTGTTTTTGTTTAAAAAAAAAAAAAGAGATTACTTGGAGTTTGCTAATATTATCTATCATCTTATCAAAATGTTTTCCTCGAACCCAAATAACGAAGATGGAATGGAATCCATATGATGCTCTAATGTTCCCTCATTAAATAACGACAGTTGTTCTTACTTCTTTACATTAGGTACCAACCGCGGTTCAAACTCTGGTTAAATCGCTTACAAATATATTCATTTAAAATTTCATTCATTGTCTTAAAACAATTTTTATTAAATTATTTTTCACATGAAATATAGGTTTGTTGATTCACGCAATATAAAATTGTGAATAATAACATTTTAATATAGCCTTGTTACAACAAAGTGGCTGGACATGTAAGAAAATTTCATTCTAAATTCGTTGAAACAAGATTACTAATCGTGTTTCAACGAATTTTGATTTTTTCATAATAATAATTTGTAATAGTAACAAGATCCACTTCCTCAAGATTTTCTGTTGGTGTTTCTTCAGTCAAAGTATCCTCTTCATCTATGTCATTATTGT